GAACCAAAACCCCCACTCAAGCAGCTCTGGTCACCGCCCCACTCCCCCCAGTATTGCCATTTTTCCTCTTCCAGGGTAGATTCACCCATTGGGGGATCCAGATCCTGATTTTGCAAAAACCATGCTACTTTATGCATGCTGAATGACATCATCAAATGCCTCGAAGCAGAGCAGTGTGACGCAATAGCTTGCCTTTTGTTGCTTTTTGTTGTGCTTGCTGCATCAGAGCTGCCAGTGCCGGTATCAGCTGAACGCACAGACTGAACTGGACCAAACTCAGCTTGTGCTTCAGGGGGAGGCAGGGAAATGGGCCCCAAGAGCTGCAGCCAGGCCCCGGGCAAACGTTAAAGGAAGAAGTGAAAAAACTTCCCTCAGCCCTGTGTTGCTTATGGATGGAATCTTCATTTTTATTTTATTTCTGCTAATTTGTGGAGTTTAGCAGTTCTCACGGTGCGCTGCAGACTGACAAAATGTCACCAGAAACCAGAGTTCTTGGTGCAGCAGAGAAAAAGTGCAATTACTACGGAAGGAAAAAAAGCCACAGAAATGAAAGATTAGAGGAATAAGAGCAAGAAGGAAAAGAGATGCACGAGAGATGGTCTTCTGGGGCGCGGGAACGAGGCAGACAGCCCTATCGACTGCTTTTATAAAGGCAATATGAATCACAGATAAGTGCCGCATCATCTATATTTTCCAAGGCACAATTTGCTGTTTTTCAGCACCACAAACAATAAGGAAAAGAAATTATAAATCCAGCTAGACAACAAAAGCTACCGAATTTAACACAGCAGCAGCAGGATGCATCTCCCTTGGGCTCCCTTTAAAATTGCACAAGCCTCATTCACGCCGCATGAATTTCCAAGGGCCAACAAATGGGAGAGGCTGGGGCAGAGCACAGCGTTCCCCCACTGCATCCCATTGCCTGGGAAGGAGGGCAGAGTCCTCCTAAATACACATTTCATTTGAAACACCTACTCTCAAAAATAAGGACGGATAAGCAATAGAGCTGGGGCACGTACGGCGTACGTCTCCCCAGGGGTCAGCTTCTGAACCTACGCAGGAATAGCTCCATCATGCTGCACTCGCAGCTGGTGCTTGCTGTGCTGGCATGTGTTGGTGAATGGGCTCTTTGGAAGAGAAGTCTTGTTGCTGTTATCACTGTGGTGAAGGTGGTGGGATTTAGTGATTAAATCAGGAGACGCAGCTCCTGCCTGGCCCGGGAGGTGACGGCTTGCTGCTCTGACAGGTCCTGCACCTCGGATGTAAACATATTAACACTTACTTTCTTGCAGCGACTCTCAGAGATGCTGAAAGTCCCCACAGCTTGCACTTTTACACTCAAAAGCCTCCAAAGATAGTGTTCTGCCACAGTTCCCTCATGATCAATACGAGAAGATGATGCTGATAGTAATTTCTTGCTGCTGATCTGCCTGTGAGCCGGGCTCTCTCGGGGAGCTCTGTGCTCTTGCAGTGCCCATTTCTGGCACACCTATAGCACAAATGCACAACACCAAGCTCCCTGACAGCCCGGTCCTGGGCTGATCTTGCAGCAAGTTCCATACAAGACCGATGTGAAGGAGACTTGTAGTTACTGTGGAGTCCAAATAACTAACTGCATTTACCGAGCAGATGCGATACCCAAGGCCTGTCTGCACCTCTAGCTCACTGCTCTGGGCAGTAAGAAGAGAAAAACAGGGAATGCTGCTGGAAGAGTTGTAAATTCTTGAGCAAAAGAGAGAAAGGGAGAGAGAAAGACTTTTATTATCGCATCCTACCCTGAGTCCAAAGCAGACAAGTACATCTTGGTAGGAAGCAGATGTACTTGCACCCTCAAGCACCGCAACAGCTCTGACAATTCTCTTCCATATGAAATTAAGGATTTGGCTCTTCCTACGTTCACACTGAGCCATTTCCCAGAAGGTACCGACCTACGGGAAGGAGAGTGCTGTCGCTTACAGAGAGCCCAGGCAAGTGCTCCAGCTCATGCTACTGCAAGCTTTCCACCTTTGTCTTTGCTAACGAGCCTCATTTTAAATGTTCTTATTTAACATTTCCCTCAGCTCAAGAAAAGCAGGACATGTTCCCCAGAGGGACACCTGCCTGCTAGAGGTGTGAGGAGCAAGATGCACAGACGAGATGCTCAGATTTTTTTTCCTGAGGAATTAGGAGGCAGCAGCTAAAGAAGAAACTGGTAGCTACAGGGCAGAGAAGCACGTCCTGCAAAGGTAGTCCCACACCTTGAGGACAACCTTACTGTCAAGGGAAGAGACCGGCACAGAGCTGTAGACTTTAGGACATCACTTTACCCCTTCTCTGGATGACAATATGCCATTTCCCAGGGAATATACCATTTCCCATCTCTTTATAGATTCCACTTGATCCAGCAACATGGCCAGGCAAAGCACAGATCCTCTGGCTCATCTGTTCTTCTCCCTGACACGCTCAGAGCCATATTTTCTAGCTGCTGTCTCAAAATGAACAGCGTTTACTACAGGGTGTCTCATCCCTCTTAGCATTTTCATGCCAAAATGGTAAAAGGAGCTGGAATTTATTCTTGGCTCATGTAGTACCAACAACCATCCTCCCTGCACTTTTTCCGTTAATAAGGAGCCAAAAATCAAAGTAAGGAGTATGTGAAGGTCCAAATAGAGCCATTCAGAGGGAAATAGCTAAGCCTTTCCTGTGATTTGCTGTCCATCAACACCAGGCACTGGAAAATATGTCTATTTGGCATCATTTATATTGGTCATTGGGGTGACACTAGCAGCTGGGAGAGGGGTTGGGTGTCAGAGTCACACCTCTCAATTGCCTCATTTCTTTTCTCTCTCACACTTCAATTTCCATGTAATCATGGATGCATTAGAGAGTGAACCGTATTACTGCCTTGCTGGCACATAAAATCAAGCCAAATGAGGTGGGGGACGGGAGGCAGGGATGGTGCAGAGCAGCTGCTCAGAACAAACCTTCCCTCATGTCCAGCGCCTCGAGAATTAGTAGGGCTCCCAAGAGAAAGATTTTTAAAGGACACAAACAGGAGTTGGCTTGGTTTTCAGCAAGGATTTTGTCCCCAGTAACCTTTACCAACTGTGTTATGCGTCCTACAGCTGAAAAGGTGATGCTGTTTGGTTTCCAACAGTAGCTGTATTTAAAATTAAATTAATAGAGCCCCAAAGATTTCCAAGAAATAGGACCTTATAACTGTTCCTGCTCCTTCAATCGCACTGTGCCTTCTGGTAGTAGTCCAGGGAATAACAAAAGCAGTCTGCAATGTAATCTGCAGTCCTAATAACTAATTTCTTTTTGTCTTGGAGCCATAGCTTCTGATGGGAATTGCACATGGCCCTCACTGGGACTGACCCCTTCGTAAAACGAAATTAATATTGGCATTGTTCCTAACGCAGTTCGCCCAGATCTAGGAGTGAGTTGACGTTACCTATTGCTCCATGGTCACAAAAAGAAAATATTATCCTGGTCCAGATTTCTGAGTCCAGCCCTCCGTGACCTAATGCCGAGCACAAACCACTGCTCTGGGCTACATGGATGGTCCGAGAAAAAGAAATATATCACTGGTCAACTGCCCAGACAGGACGGGTCGTATCAATAAATCACTGCTCTGAGTTCAGCGGAAAACAACACTCCCTCCTGCCCTGCATAAAGGTAGAAAGAGCAGGGCCAAGCCAGGCCAAGGAGGCAGGTATTGATTTTTATGTGGCTAGAGCATCTTTTCCAATTTCCTAACATTTGTGAGGAGGGAAAGAACTGCCAAGGTTATTGGAGCAAACAGGAGGGAAGGCTTTGGTTGTGGAAAGGTGCTGGGATGCAGGACGAGCCTGGCAACCTGCCTCTGCAGTTGTGAAAACCTGGTCCCCGCTGCAAGCCAAGGGCAGAGGGAAAACAGAGGTTAAGCCATGTACGTGGAGCAGTGGGAGAGGCTGAGCAGAACATAAAAGAGAAGGAACGAAGCCTGCTGGAAGGGCGGGGGGGAGGAAACCCACTGAGTGAGCGATCGATGTACAAAGAACATCAGGGACCTGGGTAAGAGCCAGCGAACACAGGAGAGCGTGAGCTGTGATGGAGTTGAACTGAAAGGACCAGCTTCCACTGAGCTGCAAGAAGAAAATTGGGCTGGCTAAAAATAAAGGGCCTTCAAGCAGCACGATCTCTTCCTCAGGACACAACGCAGGCCATGAATGTGGGCAAAAATAAATAGGTCAAGGAGAGCAGCTCCTTCAGAATTAAACTTTTCAGAGCTGGCCGCGCTCGGGCAGGCAGGACCGTGCCGGGGGGCTGGCCGAGGCCACCACCGCATCGTCACCCTCCTTCAGACAGCACAACGCCACCTTGGCTCCCTCGTGGGCAAATCCAGAAAAGCCTAATTTGATCATTAATAACCACAGTGGTCTAGATGTGGCAAATGCAAAATGGCATAGCAGTTCCCACTGAGCTTGTGGAGCACCCAAAGGGTGCAAATGCTTCGGTCCTAAAACCAGCGTGCA